GGCATCTCCGAGCTTGAGCAAACGACAAGCTTGCAAGAGAACTGCAGGCTGTACAAACTGAAATGTGGCATCGGGATGTGCTTTCTGTGCTGCCCTGCCCGGAGGAGATCGCTGCCAACACCTGCCATCAGATGTTGAAAGCGGCTGGAATCCCGGCACCTGAGACCAGACTGTTTGCAGTCACGGTGCTTCCGAGGTCTCTTACATGCATGCGCATCAGATCGCGCACCGGGACCTGAAGCTTGAAAATTTCCTCTACGAACGGAAGGACTGTTGAAAGGGACTTCCAGTGACCCGAGCCAGCGTTGGCATTAGTTCCGGTGGGGCTTGTAGGCATTCGCAATACAGCTTGCTCAGTGAAGACGAGATGCTGAGCAACAACGGCTTCGCAGGACAACAACCATCTCAAACTCATCGACTTTGGCAGCTGCCCCGGCCATCGGCCATGTCTCTCTTCTATTGCCAAAGGAAGATCTGGAGCTCCAAGGATTTGCCAAGTTCTGGGATCGAAGTACGAAAATGTCGCAGGCATCTTCGTGCATCGATTGTCTGCCTCAGCTGTGCAAATGCTTTGTCTCATTGGCAAGCCTTCTAGTTGCGTCGGGGTCGTTCCGGAGAGCCCACTGCCTCCACTGACTCCCTCAACCTTCCCACGTCTTGTAGCTGATTCTCAGTGGCTTCAGCGCGTGCTCGTCCTCCGTTCTCCCTTTGGCTCCCGACCTTCTCACGGCGAGTAGGGATCTCGCCCCAGACTTGGTTGGGACTTGAATCTTCTGTGCCAGATCCTACTGGGAGCTTCACTGGCCCAGTCTGGAAAGTGCATCTGGTATAGCCTCGACGCAGCTCCGTGCGTGTTGTGGACGTAGTGAGTAATGGCCGCAAACCCAGGACACAATCCAGACCCTAAACTGCCTTAAACCCTGCAGTTCTGTCATGTCGAGCAAATTCGCAGCTTCTTCCGTGACGAAGTTCGACTTGTCAAGGTTTTTGGGCGATTTCTTGGGAGTTGGTGCGCGGTAGTGTGTTAGCCAGGCTTGTGGATCCACCCACTATGTGGCACCGGAGGCCAGCATGCAAGACTGCCACATGCACTTGACTGCACGGGGGTTGCAGCTGCCCCATGCAAAGAAGCTCAGCAGTTGCCCAACAGGTGTTGGCCAAGTCCTACACCTTGAAAGCAGACATGTGGTCGCTTGGAGTCATCAGCTTCATGCTCCTTACAGGGCCGGGGACTCGGATGACACAGCTTCCTCGCCAAATTGTCTTCTATGCCCCGACCTCCCTATCGAACGCGCTCCTCCCTCATCACGTGATGGTTCGCGATGATCACCTGTAATACGGGGTGGGCACGGATCGCAGGGCTTGGACATCGGAACTCGAAGCATGTGAGACAGACTCGAAGCTTCGTGACCGAGGAGTCCTCCTTTTCAAGGGAGTAACGACAATGAAGTCCTGCGCAAGATCAAGAGAGGGCCTCAGCCGTCCGAAGCGGCGAAGCGTCGCTTTGCGGAAACAAGCCTGGATGGCGATTTTGAGTCGAACAGCAGTCGCGCATGCAGGGCCGGCAAGATCCACTGGTCTACGCGCTTCAAGCGTCTCTCAGAGGGTGCCCAAGATTTCGTCAAGGCCTGGGGCGTCAAGTCAGTCCGGAGCTTTGTCACCTCACCGTGGTGAAACCACAAACTGCGGTTGTCGTGAATTTCTTTTCCGCAGGCGCTGCTGCTGATGAACCCCGAGGAGCGTTTGGATGCTGCAGGCCTCGGAGTCTCTGCAGAAAGTGCGAAGTTTTTTCTCCCTGGGGAAGTGCTTTTGCTTTTGGGCAGAAGTTGCATCGTCTCGTGCTACTTGGGGCGAAGATCCCATCGCCTCGAGATCCGCATCGGTCGCCGCTTGGTCTATGCGCCACAGTCGCAGTCGGTGCAGGTGCACTGAGCCATCCCTGGATCACCGGGAAGGGGGGATTGCGTGGCAGCAATGCCAGGCACCCGAGATGCGCCCAACAGTGCAAGATGTCTTCCCGGTGTGCAATGCTGGAAGCTCCGACTGTACTAAGACCGTTCTCGACGATGGGATCAAGCTGAGTCTACGAAAATTTGCGAGGGCATCAACGTTCCGGCGTGCTGCTTTGCACCAAGTTTGCATGAAAGGCGGGCCATGTCTTGACAAGCTTGAGGAAAGTTGCTGGTGCAAGGTGCTGTCAATGATGGCTTGGTCTTTGTCTGCAGAGGCGGGAGCAAGACCTGTGAAGATTTGCACACCATCGATATGCAAGAGCCTGGCCAGGATCGTGCACAACTGCGCAATGAGTTCTTGTCCTTCGACACGCAGAACACCGGAACCATCACCCACCTGCAGGCTGTTCTGCTGGATCTCGCTCCATAAGCCCGGATTTCAGACAGAGTTCGGCAATATGCGTAACGGCACGAGTCCAAATACGGAATCTTGGGGTTTCTTCTGGCAGATGAAAGAAATCTTGGAAACGAACTATCACATCGACAGCATGGAGGCGGAGGTGGCACTTCCTGATTCAGAAGTGTCTTTTCACTGGGACCAACGTCTGAGCGTAGCAATGTCTCAGGCAGTCTTCAGCATGATGGATACCGACCACGACGATGTCATCGCCTACAGCGAGTTCCTTGCTGCGGCCCTGCAGGTCACGAACCCAGCAAAGATGGGAACAAGGTGAAGCTTGCCGGATGGGTGAAATAGCATGAACGCAGCAAAAGGGGCTGTTTTAAGAGAGCTCCCTCTTGCAACCTCTGGCCTTTCTGCAGGGACGGCTCAAGGTTCACGAGGACACACCGGTGCTCACAATCTAATCGAAATCTCACAGCTGGCGGAAACCTCCGGCAGGACATCTTGCGACGGACGTTCCGAAAGTTTGACATTGACAATTGCGGGCGCATCACTGTTGGAGCCTCAGACCGCGGAATAGCTGGGCGTTTCGCTCGTCCTTCCGCGTACAGTCCATACGGTCAGCCAGCATGGAGTTGCAGAGGCTGCCGAGTGCGACTCAGGCGGAGGACCTGAGAACCATTCTGGGCGAGCAGTTCGAGGGGACCGATGCAGAGGATTTGATCCGCGAGGTCCGGCGTTGACCTGTGACATCCTGTGACGGGGGGCCTGTCAGCTTCGGAAGACCGCACGAGTAGACTACGGAGTGAGAGTCAGCATCTTGGTACTCCCTAACGAGCGGCGGATCCAAAGGCATGCAAGCATCAGTGAGCCAGGCCGACACAAACGGCGACGGCATGATCGAGTATGACGAGTTCCTGCAATACTTCCACAATCACGAGCCGCATGTGGAGGCGGGGAGCAAAGCAGCGATTCAGAGACCTCAGCACCAGAGTTGTGACATGCTCGAACGTCGAAACCTCATGGTCATCTTTGGCCAGGGTGCAGAGGTCCAGGAAGATGCCAGAACCTCGGGCATTGCTTGGGTTCTTCGGGTGCAACACAGGTGACTTAGAGCGGGCAGCTCCCATCTAAGAGTGGCCTTGTTGGGCTTTGAACAATCCCCGCAAGACTGCTGTCAAGCTGCATCAGAGCAAGACCTCTAACGATGCCCAAGCGGGCATAACCTTGCCGGCCTGAGCGACACGGAAGGGCTGCAAGCTGCAAGCGCCGTAGCTCAAAGGCTGGAGCTGGAGCCTGGACACGGAAGACTCGATCTCTTTGCCGTCAGCCGCCTCAGTAACTCCCCCGTATAGAGTCTTGCGGTGTCTGTTCAGAAGCTTCTGCTTCTGCCACCCGCCACCTTGGAGGCCAACACACGGAAAAGTTGGCCAAAGTCATCGATCGGCTGCTGTCGCAGGACGGCCTTGTCAGGTGGACAAGTAGGACTTGTCACTTGTCTAGATGTCCATGTTTGCCTGGGGTCACTCCCGTTGCCAGCAGTGGCGTTGCAGCTCCCGCAAAGCAAGAAAGCCTCAATCGTTTCTCGGAAGGAGTCGTCGGTCATGGACGTGCTAAGTCCTGTGACAAGCCGGTACCCCGGAAAGAGAGCGAAGAAGAGCCTGTTTCCGAGGCTCTCGTGTAGTGGATTCAAAGTGTGCCCATCCTTTGGCGCACGATTCTTGAATTTCGCTGGGAAGCCAATAGAAACTGCGTGCCCTCCTAGGCGTAACTGGTAAACCTGGAAGACTGCAGTTTGCAGATCGTGATTTAGGGCTTGTCTCAATGAAGTGTCGATTTCCGATCTCGTCCTCGGAGTGCACCGGGTATGGGCACATGTCTTTGCTCCCTGCTTTAGCATGACTAGCAACACCCGGTCCCTTCTGATACCTCGGCCGCCCGTCGTGCATCGTCGTGCGTCGTACCGCCGAGCCCAAGACAAGATGCTTGCTGAGGTCCAATGCGGCGTCGCAACGACAAGGCGGGCAGTTCTGCAGAACGTCGCAACTGAGGATTGCATGCAGCAAAGCCGCCTCGAGCCATCTAACACTGTGAGGCGAAGACATTGCCGGCCCCAAAGAAGTCGAGCTGCAGCCCGAAGGGAGGGGGCTGTCGTTCATGCCTCAGAACGATGCAACTTGATGCTTTCTACGAGCTGAGGATGATGGAGGCTCCTTCCCAGCTCCGCTGGGTCGAGTAGATCAATGCTAGTTTCACCAGGTCAGGTCGAGGCACTCGCGCCTCACTCGGTGGACTACGTTTTCCGACTGGCCCAAATCTCGTTTAAAAGAGCGCCTTGCCAGGATGGGCTCGATGTGACTGCGTCCCCAAACATGGAAAGTGTCCCAAAAACATACTGCAATGAAGCCCCAGTCTTGAAAAAAATCTAGAAAAAAGTTCAGGCCGTGGACCCGCTTGCATTTCTGCAGCAAGAAGTCCGTCCGAGTTGTGTCGTGCGAGAGCTCTTGGGATACTTGACCTTGCCTGGCCTCAAGACCTCCGAGAAGTGCAAAGAAGCTTCTCGCAATGAATTGGAATCTGACAAGTTGACAACCTGTTGGAGCTGCAGATCGTGAGAGTCACATCTGCATAGGGTGGTGTTCCCAATGCCTGACCCTGTGCGCCATGTCGCTCTGGCTACAACCTTGAAGGCCAGACTGTGACAGAGACGAAATAGGCAAAAGCAAAACCACCCTCCTTCAGACCAGCTCTGCCATTTTGCGACCAGGTTCATGTTCACAGCGCCTCTGACCTACCGCGTGGCGATGCCAAAGGTCTGTGCGGAGCTTGGGCTTGAAAGCAGCCGCGGCCACAGCCGCGTTCTGAGCCTCTGATCACTGTGAGCCCAGCTCCGAGGTCCGATCCTTACGTGGTGTGCTTCCTTCCACCGGGGGTGGACCCCGTCTTCCAAACCCAGGCAATGTGGACAGGGTGGGAACTCTCCCGACTATTGGGATATGCCGGAGACATATTAGCAGGCTTCAAACTTGGGTGAAGGTCACGCAACGTTGCATGAAAAAGCGAAGTCATGGCAGGTTTGCAGGCAAACGCTGGACCCGGTCTGGAACGAGGCGTCGCGGATGTTCTGGATGCAGAGATCGGATTCGAATGCCGTGCAGGAACATCAGTTCCGCTACAACCCGGGCGCCAGCCTCCAGTTCCAGGTGCTGGACAAGGACGGAAGGTTGCCTGCGCCTCCGCGAATGTGCACCCAGTCCGGCGGGTGCTTTGAGCCTCCCTTGACGTTCAGGATGACTCGCTGAAAGATCTCTCCGAGCGCACGGAGCCCAGTGGAGCCCAGGTGTAGGCCTAGGCACATCGCTGCCCCGGCTGCAGGCTTGCTTGACTTTCGCGGAATCGGCTCGGACTTCCTCGGGCAAGTGACCTTGGAGAGTGAGGAATTTTATCCGCCGCTCAGCTGGAGATGAGCACTGCAACATACTGCAACCAACCCAAGCCGCGTCACACTCAACTCACTCCTTGCGTCCCTCCCCCCTTCTCTGAGCGTCGTCGACGCTTCGTGGGAGGCGCCAACTCTGCTGATCCTTTCCGTCGTTTCAAAGTGGTTGGGTTGTTTCAGCTCTCCCGAAAGCCTAACTCGCAAGTTTCCGGATTACACAGTCAATGTGATGAAACCATGCCATGCGAGTCCAACTCAGCAGAACAGGCTTTGCAAGTGAGACCCGCATGGAGTAAGTTCTTTCGTATGGCATCCGGAGAGAGTCTTGCTTGTATTGTCAAGGAAGGGGTTCGAGGGCGATGTCATGCTCGAGGGTGTGCCTGGGGGCAAGAACGTGCGCCTGCCGGGTTCCTCATGTCAGCGGTTTCAACCCAGCACTGCTGACGAAAGCCTGGTGCCAGGCTATTCTGCATTTGCGAATCGCTGTCGATGAGGGTCAGGCCTAAATCACAATGCATGAGCAGAGCTGTGGGATGTCACACCGCTGGCTGATAGGTGCGCCTGCCCATTCCTTCCCAGCCTGCGGCACCGCCTCACGAGACTCTCATGGACACCGCCGAAGCCCAGCAGTTGTGCGGAGCTCAAGCTCGTCCAAGTGGCTACGCCGCTGTGCTTGAATTTGCGGTACGACCAGGCTCTACAGCACGGAGGAGATGCCGAAGGAGAGGAGGCCGCAAGTGCGGCTTCAAGCGATGCCCAGACTGACTGGTGGCCGGTCCTGCGAGGCAGCCAACCACACAGCCTCCTCAACATCCCCAGCATCCTCCCTCGGAGCATCGTCTCCAACAGAATGTTCGCCAAGAGCAGAGGTCTGGTTTTCTGACCTGTGCTTTGCAGGTTCTTCGCCGACCTGCACAGCAGTGATTTACAAAGTTCATTTCGCTGATGCGGTGAATCGTTCGCAAATTCGCAAGCTGATAGCTGCAGTTGCCCTGTGAATCTCTGCAGAAGGTAGGGTGCCAAAGTGATAAATGCCTTCATACTGCACAGCACTACAACTTTCTCCGTGATGGTGCTTCTGGAGTGGTGGTGCTTGTGCTGGTGGTAGTGCTGATGCTGGCAATGGGATTGACATGTTTTCTTGCGAGTGCCCTGCAGTGGAAGTTGCTGTGCGAGAAGCAATGCACTTGATTCTTGGAGCCGTGCTCTACTAGTTAGTTGATGTTAAGTCAAGATCTCAAGCTTCGATTGTGTCGACGTTCGACTCCTGTGGCTACAGTTTGGTTGAGAGGGGCGGATCCTGCTCCTCCACAGCGGCACCCGGGGGCTTACATGAGGCACCGTGCTGCCGTGGTCGGCCGGTGCTATGCCAGCTGGCATGCGGGCCCTGTGCAGGTTTGGCAACTTCGCGTCACGCTTGCAGCAGCTGCTGCATTGCCAACGGCACGCGACAGTGGGAGGCTTCAAACATGAGATGAGAAATCTCAGTATTATTGCTTGAAGTTGTTCAAGCATCGTAAGAGGTGCAGCCCATACTGCCTTTGTGACCTCGCCGGGGACACGCCTTTTCAGTGCCGAACAGCTGTCGTCACAGACTCACGGGAACCAGCAGGGCTGCCCAGCCTCTTTTGTTTGCATTCGATGCTCGAAATGCACCCAGCTGCACTGCTGCTGAGGTGTGGAACAAGACGGTCGGCATGGAGTTCTCCGGCAAAGAGCCTTTGGTCTTTTCCATATACAGCAAGGATGCCATGCCCTTGAGTTGTGGCAGTTGCACGCCGACTTCGTCGAATGAAGACGGTTCCGCAGGAAGTTTGGCCTGAGAGAGACACGTTACTCGCGACGGTCCTGTCCTCGCAGAAAGTGGTGGACATGCGTTGTTGAGCAGATGCAGCGCCCTGAGCTTGGTGGCTTAGCGAAGGCCACACTTTCAGCTAATCAGCTGCTTCCAGACGGCCGCTTTCTCAGTCCCTTGTTTGTTTGCATCTTCCCGATTCTGTCGGTGGATTTCCAGGCTTCGATGGAGACCTTGGGCTAGAGCTCTGCAGCGGCGTCGGCGACCCAGGTCCAGCTAAGCTGCCAGCCCCAAGCGCGCTTTATGACTTGTCCAGGCCGAGCTTCACGCACACTCCGAGCGACCTTCTCTGAGAGTGCAGGCGCCGTTTCGCTTGACATTGGCCTGTGCGCTCTCACTGTCTTGGAAGTTTCACGCGCTCAATTCTCGCCCGTCACAGGTGACTTGCCACAAAGTGCAGCGAACGGCTGTCCGAAACCCGATTTGGTCTTGTAGACCCTGAACTCCCTGAAAGCCCTACTTCGTTGCTTGCTGGTAGAAGGTTTCCGCCGCTCGCCGCGAGAAGCACCAGCACCAGAAGCATTTAGAGGCGTCAGAGCGGCATGATGAGCGCCAACACCAAGACAAGGCTTCAAGCCCGAACCCCAGTTTCGGCCATGCGTGAAACCCTGAAACCCCACTGTTTCAGAAAAGTTCTCAGGTCCGAGGCAGAAGGCGAAAGCCACACTGAGCCCAAAGAGGCTTTCAGAGAGCGCCAGAGCAAAGAATCGATGCAGAGCAGCACACCGCAAAGTGATATGACGGCGGCAGGCTGAAAGTGCTCATCCAGAGCTTCCGAGGATTGCATGGGATGGACTTGTCCTCAAGGCAACGGGGTTAGATTCGACGGGTGCAGGGCGAACACAGTATGGTAGACAGTGGTACGCATAGACAGGGGTGACAACATGGTTTTGTCCACTTCTTGCAAATTGGCGTCTGTCCTACTGGGCCAGGCGAGTCTTCTCCTGCATTTGCGCCATCGCCGGGCCAGCTTGGCACGATTGTAGCAGTATACCGTTCCCAGAGAGCGAGACGGAAGATTTTGCTTGAAAGGCGGAGATATGCCGACTTGCAGACTGGCCCCGCCATGGAGCAGGGATACCAAACAGTCAGGAGCCCAGGTGACCGGGTGCATCGCCTCTGGTACATGAGCATGTCAAAAACTGGTCTTGTAGCAGGGGAAACTAGACTCGGCAAGTTTCACCGGCGTCGTATTGTCAGATTTCCCTCAAACCTGAAATGCCCGAAACCCGACTTGAAACTTCGCCTCAGCCACTGTCTCAGCAGATCAGATCAAGCATTGCGGGTGTAAGAGTTTGGGGGTGAGTCAGGCAGCTTCCATGTCGCGGACCTTACCCTGACAAGAAACACGCAATGCTTTTCGAGAAGATCAGTTGATATTCTTATTGCACTTATCTAAATCGTTGACGTGACCGACGTTCCAATCACCGGAAACGGATATTCTTACCCTGAGACGAGCAGGGGTTCGGGTGCTGTGTTGAGATTTTTCCCTGGAAAGCTTTGGAGTCTAGGATTTCATGGCATCAGACAGGGAGTGGACTGGCGGTTGTGGTTCTTGTCGCTGTCGTGATCGTCATCGTCGCACTACCACTACGACTGCAGTAGTGTTTGTACTCTTAAGTCCCAGGTGTGGAATCTCGAAGGTGAGCTTCAAGACTATGTGGAGGGAGAAGACCTGGAGTTCCACGTGGCATGCGAGGATGCTGGACTAAATATCACTGCTCCATCGCTGACTGTGTATGGGCCCAGGATACACAGACACAGCTTGATGGATCTGCTGTCCTGCGGCCCGAAGCCCATTCTCTGATGTTTCGAGCTGAGCTTCAGGTGGGCATGTGACTGCCCTGTCCTGCGACTGAAGGTGCCATCAGTTCTACCCGTTCGGATTCAACTCCGACATCACCATGGCAAACGATGGCCAGGGCCGCTGCCCTAGAACGCTGGCACTTTCTCCGTGACATGCCAGGACATGTTGAACAGTCAGTGGCCTTGCATGGCCTTTGTTTCTGCAACATGATGGGGCTCTCAGACTGATGCCAAGGAATAGTGGGACTATTGCGGGTGAAGGTCAGCGTGGAGAAAGGAGCCAGTCAAAAGCAAGTCTTTCCCACAGGGACGGGGGCTCAAATTGCTCAACACTTGGTTCGATGTTGCTTACAACAGCTGCCGGCTTGCTTTCGCAGACGCGGAGGTTGCGAACTCTGGGCATCCAGCAACCATCTTCTGCTGCCGATGCGAGGCTAAAACAAGGAGGCCTGAATCTCAACTTGAAGATCCGGCGGGTGGTCCTCTCTGCTCCGCCGAGCTCCGCTGAGTGTTGCAGGCGACGTTTGGCTCCGCAGCCTCCGACCCTGGGACGCCTTCCATGCATCCCTGGCATCAGCTCAGGGCCAGGAGCGACATCGACTCTCCGAGCAGCCCGGGCCCAAACATGAAGCTTGCGCAAAACTGGAAGCGTTGTGTCCGGAGCGCCCGGTCAGGTCCAGCGCGATCTTGAAGCCGAAAGTGAGCTCGTGACTCAGATGTTTTCGGCAGCTGCCGTGTTTCGACTCATTTCGATGCCTCGAGGTCGCATGCCCATGTCCTCGCAAAGCCAGGCCCAGGCCGGAATCGAACTTCGCTCAGCTTCGCCTTCAGCCAGCAATGTGAGAGGCAGTGAGCGGACGCTCCGGCCGTTCCGCCTCCCCGTCCTCACCCACCAAGTTGGGGCCTCGGAGCAAAAAAACGGGTGCCAGCATTACCGGGTGCAGCATCTCTAGGAGACAAGGGAGCCACCTCCAAGCATCAGCGCCGCTCATCTGAAGATCGCCTTCTTGCAGACAAAGTATCGTCGAATGCGCGACCTGAGACCTGAGGCCACTGAGGCCACTTGGTGTGCAGCACGTTCTTCAAGTCTGCCAAGTGGGCATCAGCCCCAGCCACGGTGGCCACGGCCAGGGCGGCCAGGCAAGCAACAGCCCTCTGGCGCTGAGCCCAGTTCCAACCCAGAGACAGCCGGCGGCAATCGCTGCACCTCACATTGGAATCCCAGTCGTTCCAGTCACCATGGGGATCTCTCCAGCAGCGCCTGCTCTTGCGCTTCCGATCGGATATGCGGGGCCGAGTCTCACCAGCACGGCAACTTCCATGGCAGGTCTTGCGCTCGGCTTGTTGAAGTGATGATGAGCCACTTGTGTTTACTGAACTGAAAGCCTTTCAAGCTGTAACACTCTGCGAGCACGCATCCAAAATGAAGACCTGCTGTGGAGTCACGGGTTCCTGAGCTCTGAGGTATCATGCCTACACCGGCGGTTGCTGCTGGTGGACGGCCGGTGGATCCGGGAGTAATCTCGTTGCTGAAAGAGGCCCAAGCAAGCCAGAAGCTCAGTTTGTCGCAACGCATTCGATCAACACATGCCTTGCCCGCGCGCTGCTGTGAGGCCTCGAAAGCTTACGCACAGGGTCGGGGACGATGTACGCAGTGCGCTGAATGAAAAAGAGGAATAGCTTTATATTTGCACTTTGTTGGGCTGCACAATGTTGGGATGCTGCCATTAGTTAATGCTTCGCGCAAGCATTCGGAACGCTCACATGATTCCAGGCTATGCTTGTCAAGCTATCAAATGGTCGAGCGCACAGTCACTTTCGGGAACTAAGTTTCCCCTTGTGCACTTATTGACCTTTCACTTGAAACTTAAATGTTGTCGAAAGCGATAGTTTCGGAAGAGTCTCATGCAACTGGAACGTCCAAGCAGACGGTTCTACGTTTTGAGGATATCTAGACAGAGAGAGAGAGAGAGAGAGAGAGAGCTTTTCAAGCCTAGGATGTCACGTGTTTGATGAAGCTCCGCGTGCACACACGAGACCATGTTTCCGGTTACCGAGCCTCTGGATGGTTGCCAAAGGGGCGCGGGGAAGAGGCGGGTTGGGGTTGTCTTAGTGTTCGGGGTCGGGGGGTAACAGCTCGGGAATCTGACACATACTCGGTAGTAAGTGCAGCGGTCAGTGGGACCCCAATGCCGTCCACTCCCAAAACAGTGGGTGGACGGGCGGGCTGAAAGCCTGAGGGTCACGACAGTGACCCCTAAGCCCGGCAGAAAGAAAGAGAGAGAGAGAGAGAGAGTACCCACAGGGGGTGGACGGGCGGGCTGAAAGCCTGAGGGTCACGACGTGACCCCTAAGCCCGGCAGAAAGAAAAGAGAGAGAGAGAGAGCCCTCATGCCCGGCAGAAGAAGAGAGAGAGAGAGAGACAGAGAGAGAGAGAGGGTCCGTCCTTGCACCCCAAACGCCCTGCAAGCAAGCAAGAGAGAGCTCAAGCTCCTAATGCCGATGGCATGCTTGCAACATAAGCGTCCCGCAACAGTCGGGGGCGCGGACACGCGCGGTGTAGGGGGTAAAACCCCTACACCACAGCCCTGGCGAAACAGAGAGAGAGACAGAGAGAGAACAGTGGGCAGCCCCCAGCGGGGGGTTCGCCCTCACGCCCGGCGAAAGAGAGAGAGAGAGAGAGAGAGAGGGAGAAAGAGAGAGAGAGAGGGAGAGAAAGAGAAGGCCCTTTGTTAATCAAATTGTTATATCCATTGTTCGGAAGCAACACATATTGTGATAGGTTTGTCAGTCGGAAAATGTGTAGAACTATGTATCACTGAAGTAGTCATGTTTCCACTGATATCTCTATATAGTGCATTCGTTTGGTAAGAAATGTTAGCTCCCAGCGTCTGGCACCCTTTAGTTCTTATTCCCCACATCACTGTGGGTTTTTATTTTTGCGCTGCACCGCCCCATGCCCGCAGAAGCCCGCCCGCCCCACCACGCGCGGCACACACAACACACACACACACACAACACACACACACACACAACACACACAACACAACACACACAACACAACACACACAACACACACAACACAACACACACAACACACACACACACACAACACACACGACACAACACACACAACACAACACACACAACACAACACACACAACACAACACACACAACACAACACACACAACACAACACAACACACACAACACAACACGCACAACAACACTCTCCTCCGAGGGCTCTCGGAGGCTCTTGGAGGGCTCTTGTTGGATCATGCGCGCGCTAAAGGGGTCCTAGCTCTTACGAAGAGTCTTCCGCGACTAAAATCCTCTCCTCCGAGGGCTCTCGGAGGCTCTTGGAGGGCTCTTGTTGGATCATGCGCGCGCTAAAGGGGTCCTAGCTCTTACGAAGAGTTTTCCGCGACTAGAATCCTCTCCTCCGAGGGCACTCGGCGAGGCTCTTGGAGGGCTCTTGTTGGATCATGCGCGCGCTAAAGGGGTCCTGCTCTTACGAAGAGTCTTCCGCGACTAAAATCCTCTCCTCTGAGCGCTCTCGGAGGCTCTTGGAGGGCTCTTGTTGGATCATGCGCGCGCTAAAAGGGTCCTGCTCTCGGGAAGAGTCTCCCGCGACTAAAATCCTCTCCTCTGCCTCTGAGGGCTCTCCGAGGCTCTTGGAGGGCTCTTGTTGGATCATGCGCGCGCTAAAGGGGTCCTGCTCTTTCTCCCGCGACTAAAATCCTCTCGTCTCAATGCCTCGTTTCGGCTCCTGGCTGGATTGTGCTCGCTTGTAGTACAACTTTAGTACTGGAAATGCCTCGTTGCGGCTCCTGGCTGGATTGTGCTCGCTTGTAGTACAACTTTAGTACTGGAAATGCCTCGTTTCGGCTCCTGGCTGGATTGTGCTCGCTTGTAGTACAACTTTAGTACTGGAAATGCCTCGTTGCGGCTCCTGGCTGGATTGTGCTCGCTTGTAGTACAACTTTAGTACTGGAAATGCCTCGTTTCGGCTCCTGGCTGGATTGTGCTGGCTTGTAGTACAACTTTTGTACTGGAAATGCCTCGTTTCGGCTCCTGGCTGGATTGTGCTCGCTTGTAGTACAACTTTAGTACTGGAAATGCCTCGTTTCGGCTCCTGGCTGGATTGTGCTCGCTTGTAGTACAACTTTAGTACTGGAAATGCTTCGTTTCGGCTCCTGGCTGGATTGTGCTCGCTTGTAGTACAACTTTAGTACTGGAAATGCCTCGTTTCGGCTCCTGGCTGGATTGTGCTCGCTTGTAGTACAACTTTAGTACTGGAAATGCCTCGTTTCGGCTCCTGGCTGGATTGTGTGCTCGCTTGTTGTGCAAAATGACGTTATCGTTTTTTTCCTCCTTATCTATCGTTTTACAAGTCAAACGCATCATCGCGAACACCGCGGGCAAGTGTTTACATAAATCGACCACGCGGGGTTATTATACAAACCCAACTGGAGCTAGCGAAAGAGCTACAACTAGAGCTAAAGCCTGGAGCTGAAGCTGGAGCAGGAGCTGGAGCTAGGGAGAAAGCTACAACGGAGCTGGAACTAGAGCTACAGCTAGGGCGAGAGCTACGAGTAGAGTTGGAGCTGGAGCTAGAGCTTGGGAGAGAGCTACAAGTAGAGCTGGAGCAGGAGCTGGAATTAGAGCTAGAGCTAGAGCTAGGGAGAGAGCTGCAACTAGAGCTACAGCTGGAGCTAGAGCTGGAGCTAGCCAAAGCCAGGGAAAGAGCTACAACTAGAGCTAGGGTTTAGAGCCAGGGAGAGAGGAGAGAGCTACAACTAGAGCTAGATCTAGAGCAGGAGCTGGAGCTGGAGCTCGGGAGAGAGCTACAGCTGGAGCTAGAGCTGGAGTTCGGGAAAGAGCTACAACTAGAGCTGGAGCTAGAGCTCGGGAGAGAGCTACACCTAGAGCTAGAGCTGGGGCTGGAGCCAGAGCCAGGGAAAGAGCTACAACTAGAGCTAGAGCTCGGGAGACAGCTAGAGCTAGACCTCGGGAGAGAGCTACAACTAGAGCTGGAGCTTGACCTAAACTCGGGACAGAGCTACAACTAGAGCTAGAGCTAGACCTCGGGAGAGAGCTACAACTAGCGCTGGAGCTGGAGAGGTGGGCGAGAGCTGGAGAGAGCTACAACTATATAGAGCAGGAGCTAGAGCTAGAGCTCGGGAGAGAGTTACAACTAGAGCGAGAGCTGGAGCTAGAGCCGGGGCAGGAGCTAGAGCGCGGCAGAGAGTTATAACTAGAGCTGGAGCTAGAGCTCGGGAGAAAGCTACAACTAGATCTGGAGCAGGAGCTAGAACTAGAGCTCGGGAAAGAGCTACAACTAGAGCTGGAGCTAGAGCTAGAGCTCGGGAGAGAGCTACAACTAGAGCTAGAGCTGGAAGCTGGAACTAGAGCTAGAGCTAGGGAGAAAGCTACAACTACAACTAGAGCTAGAGGTGGAGCTGGAACTAGAGCCGACGACAACATGTACGCCCTGTGCTTTGCCGCCGGTTGCGACCGTAACAGCAGCTTCTATACAGATGCCAGAGTGAGGAGTGTGGATGGGTAGGAGGGTGGAAGGGGGGGTGGAGAAGGGGTCCCAAGCAAGTGCCCGTGCGAACAGATAGGAACACAGACGCACACACACATACACACAACGCAAACGCACGTGCACACACACACACACACACACACACACACACACACACACACACACACACACACACACACACACACACTGATGGATTCGGCCAAGGGTACGAGTGCAAGAGGAAAAAGAGAGGCTTGTTGTTCATGTTGCAAAAGTTTGTCAGATTGCGGCAACCGTACAACTTGTTTGGCTAATCTGGACACCACAGGGGGCCTGTCCTCAAACTAATCTTGGCACCACAGGGGGCTGCCGAAAACTTGTGCAGGTACATGACTGAGCGTCCTCAATCACTTCCCTTCCAGTGACCTAGCTTCGTTGGATCAGGTCAGTCACTGGAAGCCTGATCCCCCTGCAACAGTTGATTTGGTAAATGTCCAATGTCTGATTAAGTTGAAAAGCAAAAATTGCAAACAGTGTAGGAGTGACCCTCTGCTCCCATGTGCTAGGGAGGTTCACACACACACAGCCCCAATGGGGCGTACATGCTTCAAGTAGAGTGAAAGGTCTGATGCACGGCAATAGGAGTGAATGGCGCACTTTTCTCGCTGTCAATAGCGATCGGGTGATTGTCGTACCAGCATTTTTGCACAAGCGGTTTTGGACCGCTTGTGCTGAATAGTAGGATGCACAATATCGTAAGGTGCAATCGAGTCAGAAGACCAAGGATCTCGAGATGGAGACCGGTGTGGGTCCTCAGCCAGGT